CTCTCCACTCGTGTATCTGAACATAAACGACTACCTCGAGACCTTACTTCGCATCTCTCTGTCGTACAAGAGCACCGTGTTAATTACGGTCACAAATTTAAATGGGATAATGTCAAAGTTTTGCATAAGGAACATCTATTTTATAAAAGAATGATTGCAGAGATGATTTTTATAAAAATGCAGACGCATGGACTGAATTCTCATACTGATACTGAGAATTTAGAAAAATGTTACAACATGTTACTCGGTTTGACTTAGATCGTATTTCGTTTGCGGTTATGAAGTAAATATAAACACTGGATTCTGTATTGTTTGCGGCATTCGGAGGTACACGTTCATAGGCGTAACATCTCACCGGAACTCTCTGGCCTTTATCGAGGTAGATATCATTATTTTGTTTTTCCCTCACATTGGGGTTGGTTGCTCTATCTGAATACGTTTTTTAGATGATCATACCACAGCATCTTAGTACGTGCAATGGAGTGACCAGTCTCGGAATAAATTGCCAGTAGCTTCCGAAAATGAAACATTTCATTGTGTAAATGATATATTATGTTTGTGCTTCCGAATCCCGTAGACAAAAAAATTTGTAGCGACAATTCTGTAACAATCAATGTTAACGCTAACTTTTGCGATTTTTTATTTTTTGCGACACTATAACATTACTTGTAATCACTGAAGAGGGTCTGTGAAATGAGACCGAAACGCGTATGATATTTAATAAAATTTGTTCTCATGGCGAGATTGTGTCACTATGTTTTAATAGTTTATAATAGCACTATACAACCTGTGCGTGAACTCTAATTGTCCTTAGGTTAATGTTGATATACTCAAGAAGAGTTTTTTAGTTATATTATTTAAAAATCAGATGTTTGAAAAGTATGCTAGATGCAGCAGAACTTCCCGAGGTAAATATTCATCCTTACTTACCCTCCATCCAATGACTTTGGTTTTGACACATATTATAAAATTCACCCTCCTAAATATTCAAGAATTTTTAGCCGTTGCTTATTGTTTATTAAAAAAATATTAACAAAAGAAGTTTCATAGACATGTTTTTTCGACACAACGTACATTAAAAAATAGTAAGCAGTTTATATAAGCGTTCATATAATAGTTCATATAGGTTTCTGTCTCTCCTCCTGTATCTCTTCCCTAAAAAAACTTAACTCAAATTAATCCTATATAATATTGTAAATAATTTTTAATCAGATATTTCTATTGAACTTTTTTGACAAAATTTAACCATGTATATAGATGCATACGTTACATTAAAGTATGTTTATTTTGGTGGTAGGGTAAGAGCAGAAATGGAATTCCTCTTTCGCCTATATGAAGCAATATGAAAAACCTAAATATGTGTATATAACCTATATGTATTTGTGTATATATATAACTAAACAATAATTTTATAATAACTATTTATGCAATGAAAAATAAACAAAGTTCTTCCACTTTACAAAAGCAAAAGTGTTTTACATCGAGTTCTCTGATGGAAAAATTTTGCTGAAAATATAATAAAATACTGAAAATATAATAAAAAACTGAAAACATAATGTGCTGAAATTTGCTGAAAAACTCTCCCAGACAGCACAAAATATTTATAAAATCTTTTTAAAATATTTACAAGAAAAATTTTAATATTTTAAAGATATATTCGATAAATATTTTCTACATATTCTTATGTCCGAGTAAAGCAGATATGAAAAAGATTATGATAAATATTTTATAAATAAATATAAATAATTATCATAAATATTACGAACGATTATTTTTCTTTACGTTATAAATATTTAAATTTATATTTATTTGTTATAAATATTAGGTATTTCTTCTAAAATATTTTGAGAAAATATAAACGATTGCTTTAATATTGCTTGATGAAATAATAAATTTCATGCTAAGATAAATACTGAAAAATTATTAGTGATTAAATATTACTCAGTAATTTTTTAGCCAGTACTTAATTTCTGGTAAATACTGATAATAAAATCACTATTAAATATTGATAGTAATAAATAATAATCGAATTATTGTGCGAAGGTGAAAAATGAGAAAATCATAATATTTAAAAAAATATATTTATAATTTTCTCATGTCTCATAAACCACTAAGTATCGAAGATTGTCAACATACACTCCAAACTTTCGTGAACCTCCCTCGATAATTTCGATCCCAAGCGATATATTATCGGTCATCATCCATGCCCCGACTCCGTTAAGGTAGTTTGGTCAAAAACAGTGAAGACAGAAATATTCTTGAAACTTGTGGCAAAATTAATTTAAGTATTAAAACGTATGTGTATTAAATATGGATTTGATTAACCGTATAGTTCACGAGAAATTACCGCTTATAATTTACTATTTTTCTCGATACCTTACATGGCGCTGACATACAAAAAGTAACACGTAAACGC